GTTTATTTCTGATGCAAGGACCCTATGAGTGAATCAATATTAATACCATGTTACCCCAGGTCAGCTCTACAAAACACAAAAATTTCCAGGTTACTCCAGGCCATCTCTGTATTACTGTACATGGTAAAGTTACCTAAGGCCATCACTACGATACTGTACATGATGATGTTACCCCAGATAAGCTTTACAAAACATAAATATGTTCAGGTTACCTCAGGTCACCTGTGCATTACTGTACATGGTCATGTTACCCTAGGTCAGCTTTACCAAACACTGATATTTTCATGTTACCCAAGGTCATCTCTGTAATACTCTACATGATCTGGTTACATCGGGTCACCACTACAATACTGTACATGGCCATGTGACTCCAGGTCAGCTTTTCAAAACACAAATAATTTCAGGTTACCTGAGGTCACCACTGTATTACTGTACCTGTCAGGTTACCTCAGGTCAGCATTGCATTAATGTACATGGTCAGGTTACCTCAGGTCACCATTGCAATACTGTACAGGGACATGTAACATCAGGTTATTTTTACAATACACATGCATTTTGAGATAACCTCCGGTCACCACTGCAAAACCATATATTTGCATTGTCAGGTTACCTTATGTCACATTTACGAAAAACAAAAATAGTATCTGTAATACAATATTTGATCATGGTACCCAGTTTACTTTTACCATGAAAAATTAGATCAGGTTACTTAATGTCACCATTACAATATCATTGCAATTCAGGTAACCCTAAGCAACATTTGTAATTACAGTATAAAATTTAGAATGGAAATGCGGAATATGTCAAAGAGACAACAACCCGACCAAAATGCAGATAACAGCCGAAGGCCATCACATGGTCAGTTTATCTAAAGGTCACCATTAGTACAAAAAAAACGGTGCCTAAGGTATGAAAATAATTAAATAACCTGGCAAGTTGGTTAACATCTTTGGTATTTAGTCACATTCAAATTTGGTAATTATACCGGAATCAGATAGAGAACTATATTTCGTGCGAATTAATTGATGACAAATTTTCCCAGTTACCTGGGGTAGATATCACCTGAGGTCCTATATCAGCGGAACTTTTATCCACTTGCTTTTCACGATGATACTATATCCTAATTACGCTTCTTCAACGATTCCGCTACGATTATACAACGTTCTCACCACGCTTATTCTGCGACCTGTCAACGATTATCACGATCTTACTACGCTCATTACGTTCTCATTACGATCACAATCTATCCGATTGCAACACAATCTTACATCGCTTCTACTGCAATAATTGCACGCACTTACCACGACCATACCACGTTCATACCGCGGTCTAACCACGATCTCAGCAATAACGTCAACATTGTGTTCCATATAAATACTGTTCGATTCCTTCTATTTCTCATTTAAGAAACGTATATTTCTCGGAAACAACACAGTCATGACACCAAAATCTACCAGAACTCACAGACGAACTCAACAGGACCTACGCCGTCTAAAAGTGTTCTTATTCTTTGCTTTGCTCTCTCAAAAACGATATCATGGCCTGATCGTTAAGATTTTGTATCTGTTTTAATGATTGTCAAAGCATCGAGCTTATTTTATGTGACAATGACAATGATCATGACTAGAACTCGAAATGGTCGTAGTATGAACGTAGTCAAGTTGTAAGAAGAGCGTGATGAGGACGGCATAGTTGTGCTAGAATCATACTATGGCCTTGAACAGCGTGGTATTGACGTGGTATAGTCGTAGTAGAAGCGTGTTTTGGTCGCGGTGAGAACGTTATGTTCGTAGTGATGTTGTAGTAACGTCGCTGTGAGATCGTAGCGCACATATATTTTATTTTCTATTTTTGATTACCTTTTATTATAATACATTGCGTATATATTGAATTCTTTCTAGTTTAACATGTTAAAGAATGCACACCTCTGAGGAGCTAAAATATAGATTAAACCTGAGTTTTGGTTTTATATGACTGTAAAAACATAATTGGTGAAGGAAAACTCCCATATTTCGTCAATTTTTACACATTTTTGGTCTATTATCATGAAAAAAATCACAGTTTCACAATACACTTTTGTCCATTTTTTCAATACTAGTAAATAGATGAACTGGACCAATCTGATTAAATTTAACTTAAAAAAACTAAAGGTAGGTGTTAATTTAAGAATTTTTTATACAGTTTGTTGCTTTATCGTAGTAAATGTTTTATGCTGTCAATTTTGTAAATTTGGTATTTTCTCTTTTTTTGGGAAAAAAAAACAATAGTCTTTTAGCTCCTTTTTATAATTGATTGAAAAAATACATATGTAAGAAATTTGAAAAGAAAAACAATTGATATGGGATGTACATGTTTCTGGTAAAATCATTTCTTTTACCCCATTACATTTTCTCAATTTTTTGGCTAATGAGACTTACTTGTAATTGTTTATAAAATTTGAAAATTTTATTACTCAAAACTGCTTATTGTAAATATACAATTTTGTTACAGAGTTAAGTTTAAAAATAATATTTTTTGAATTCATTGCTTTTTCCACTTGTATCACTAGTTTGGAAATAATTCTAGAACGAGATGTAAACAAGACTGAAACGTCAGAAGAATACATCCTTGATTTGAATCAATAATACTGTTTTTTCATACTTCATAGTGTCTTTCTCTACTCTATTATGATATAATACCTGCTCAGATATTTTGGAATCATATCGGCACCAAGAGGCAAAATGTTCGCAATTATACCGGAATAGATTATATGCGACAGGACCTGTCATGCTGAGTGCTCTTTTGAGGATGTCTTCGGCACTTAGGGGTCTAAAAAATACCAATAAACATCCTTAACACATTTACTCCTAGTTTGAAATGTCAATACATTATTGCATTTTAAGTTTAAATAAACTCGGACACTTTGTAGCTCACCTTTCCTAAAAGGCTAAGTGAGCTTTTCTCATCACTTGGCGTCCGTTGTCCCTCGTCGTCGTCGTCCGTCGTCGTGGTTAACTTTTACAAAAATCTTCTCCTCTAAACTACTAGACCAAGTCTAACCAAACTTGACCACAATCATCATTTAAGTATCTTGTTTAAAAAAATTGTTTGATGACCCGACCCGCCAACCGAGATGGCCACTAGGACTAAAAAGAGAACATAGGGGTAAAATGTAGATTTTGGCTTATCACTGAAACAAAAGCATTTAGAGCATATCATGTCATTAATAAAATTGTTCATCCGGTCAAGATCTATCTATCCTGAAAATTTCAGACAAATCAGACAACCTGTTGTTGGGTTGCTGCCCCTCAATTGGAAATTTTAAGAAAATTTTGCACTTTTTGTTTATTATCTTGAATATTAATATTACAGATAAAGATATAATAACCTGTAAACAGCAATAATGTTCAGCAAAGTAAGATCTACAAATCAGTCATAATGACTAAAATAGTCAATTGATCCCTTAAGGCGTTATAATTGCCCTTTATAGTCCATTTCGTTTGGTAAAACTTTTGTAATCTTTTACAAAAAGATTCTCAAAAGCACTGAGACAAATTAAACTAAACTTAGCCACAATCATCATTAGGGTTACTAGATTAAAAATGTGTCCAACGACCCCACCTACCAACAAAAATGACCGGCATGGTTTAAAATAGAACATAGGGGTAAGATTTTGGCTTATTTCAGAAGCTAAAGCATATCATATTATTAATAACAATGATCATCAGGTAAGGATCTATCTGCCATGAAATTTTCAGACAAATCAGACAGGCCGCAGTTGGATTGCTGCTTTAAATTGGTAATTTCAAGGAAATTTAGCAGTTTTCGGTTATTTTCTTAAATATTATTATAGATAGAGATAAATTGTAAACAGCAACAATGATCAGCAAACTAAGATCTACAAATAACTAAAAAGACCAAAATGGTCAATTGACCCCTTTAGAAGTAAATGCCCTTTATAGTCACTTTTTAATGTTTTTTTGTAAATTTAGAAAAATCTTCTCTGAAACCAATGAGACAAATTTAACCAACTTGACCACAATCATCATTCGAGTATCTAGTTTAAAATATGTGTCAGATGACTCCGCCTTCCAACTAACACCCATGGCTGTCATGGCTAAAATAGAACATAGGGCAAAATGCAAGTTTCTTTAATTAGTTTTTGAACCGTTATAAATAGCGAAAATCTGAAAGGAGCAAACATGTGCAGGATAATGAGCTCTACTAATTGCCCACATACGTCAAAACGGTTAGACAAATTTTTATTGGAGTTACTGCACATAAATGACAAATTTTTGTTTTCATTTTTGCCTATTATCATGAAAACTATGATATTTAGAGAGAAAAATGTTTAACGTTATGCCTTACATGATTTAAATTATAATAGATAAATAAACACTTTAAATCACGAAAATGGTCAGCAAGGCAAGACTTATTCATAAGTAGAATTTTGCTAATATAGTTAGTAGACTGTCACTCTTCATAGGAGTGATTGTCCTTGAATGAGGATTTTTTTACCCTCTTTTGTATATTGAGCAAACACTATAGAAGATAGAGAGAAACTAAACAGACTAAAAGATCAGTAATACAAGATCAACAAAATAGAGATTTTTGTCAGGAAGTTTATTCTTGTCTTCAATGTTGGAGAGTGTCCTTTTGTTTGATATGCACATAAACCAAGGTGAGCGACACAGGTTCTTTAGAGCCTCTAGTTTTATAAAATCAGACTCTGATGTTAAAAGTTGAAACAAGTACAATGATAAACGTTATCTAAACAAAAATTAGTTTAACATGCTTACATGACATCAGTTCCGAGATATCATCAATTAAAATGAAAAAAAAGAAACCTAAACAATTAGGAAATAAAGAAATAAGCTGCTAAATGAAGTAATCCCTTGTAATAACGACAACATTCAAATTGCTCTTATAACAGAGAACTCAAATAAAATGTAATTATATTTTCAATATTCATTTTAATATCAATAAGAAGCATGGCGGTGATTGGTGTATTACTGTTGATACTACAAGCGATACCTGTATTTTCTGTCCTTACTGTTGTTTATCCAAGCTTTACTGTCGCCCACAATATCCCAAAATTCGTCTTGCTTCACAGAACATCCGTCATAAGGAACATCACATAAAGAAAATGCGAGGGTTCGATTAAAAACAATGGGCCCCTGATTTCCAGTTAAATGAAATACTTTGTTATTTCCTGTTAAAAAATCAAATGTTTTGTGAATATTACAGGTTTAATAAACATGTTAGATAATTGGTTTATTTAAGCCATTCGGATCAATAACTAAAATTACATTTTGAAATGAGTACTGTGTCTTTTTTATATGAGTAATTGGCTACTAAATAAGTAATAAGTTGGTCTTGCTCAACGATGTTGATCGAAAATGTTTTGCTGTTTGTAGAACATATACTGTACGATATGTCCAGTTTAATAATAGCAACTCTTCATTCGATAATCTTGAAAGTTGGTACATTGTAGACAGTGTATCTGTCGATTGTGCCAAACGTTTAAGAATTTTTGATATTTTGATGTTAGAATACATTGGCGGAAATATATCGTAATATCAATAGTGAACTTTTAACTAAGCATAACGATTTGATACTCGAATCGCAAGTCAGGATACATATACAAACGTGAATAATGGCATGCACATGTATAAATTAGAATTTAGGACTACAAACGTTAGCATTCATCCTCTTATTCCATCATGGTGATCAGTATGGAACTAAAACCATACAAATTGATAGTTCAGTGCTGAAGTTTCTGAATTTGGACAGACGGTAGGATATGCATCATTGCTATATATTTTTCTTTTAGTTATTGATTTTAACTGGTAAACGTGACAGTTCTTGTACTAATTCTAAATAAATTTTCCCCTTATTTTGTATATAGATATTTAGATTTTTATGACTTTTGACCTACTGACCGTAATCAGTGATACACAATCCATTTTGCTGTATACGGCAAATATCTTCTCCATTGACGACAGAACTTCGTGACTGTGTTCGTTTGCGCTCAGGTAATCAAATAATGTCACACACCAATAAAATATGTTAATTTTTGTACCTAATCTTTGCTGATCGTTTTTTAAGGATGATTTTGTTGTTTAAATTTTGTCAACAGCTAATAAATCGATTCAAAGGTACAGTTAGCCATGGTAAAACACAAAAAGTAAAGGAATCGCATAAACTCTAAATCACTAAGAGCGGGGTCGCCGATACGGAATTCCACCCCTACTATGCTTATATTACCTGCCATACGATTAATCATGTTAATGAGGTAACATAATGATGCATCCTGTCTGCTTTATAGACAGACAGGTTCACCTTACTTTTAATCCATACACAAATATACCTGACTAAGGTTAATATCAAGTGAACGGTACCTGAAGAACTTTTAGACCTTGCAATAATCTATATACCAAATATTGTTATCCAATCACTCATAATAGTTAAGAAATTAATGTGAAAAGAGAGAAATATCAGCCACTGACAACGGACATATACCACACGGAAACTTAAGAATATAAAGCATGACTGTATATTCCATACACGAAATAATCAAGTCTTCTACCTTAAAGTAAATATCATTATTCCAATGGTTAACGCTGTCGACATCGTTTTTACGCCACCGTTGTCAGATAAGTACCCCTACCTCATAAAGGGCGAAACAACCACAGCAACTTTTAAATTTCATATCTTATACTAAATAAACGAATTAGCTGGATTATTGATAAAAACACGTGGTTCCTACCAACAAAGGTACACTTTTAGTTTTGATTGTACAACTGTTCTCGCACTGCAATAACAATACACTAAACCGTAGAATGATTTGGAATCCTTTACATCTCAAAACTCATACTAAGTACTAATACTTAATTGTAATAAATATTCAATTGTGATGTATCGTGTTTTAGTCTGAAAATATCAGTCATCTAGATCTTTTTGGTTCATGTGTAGTCTATTATAAAACATGTTAAAAAATGATAATTAATAAAATCAGGTATATTTCGAAATGCTTAGTTATTTGACACCACCCTTTGCAATGACCATGATTCCTTCCCCTCGGCACACATATATATTATAGATGAAGTCATGATTACTTTATCATAAGCTTAGTTCAGCTTAATATGTTTTTATTTATTTTTTGCAACGATAAAGTAGATGCTACTGTTGCTTGGCTTTTCAATCCGAAAGTATCGCCAGCACAGTGGTCACTACTACATTTCTTCAATATTTTAACACACTGAAGATTTTTATAATTCAGAAACAATTCCTTCTTGTCATGCTCTTTGTTCATTTTAACACGAGTGGGCATTACATTTGTCGACCGCTCAGTGTATTGACTAATATAATGCCTACCCATGTTAAAATGAGCATAGAGCATGACATGACGGAATTATTTCGATTCTTATACTAGTAGGTCAAAATTAGTATTTTTACATCTCATAGCTATAGAGTGTGTGACTTAGATGGAGAGTTTTCTCATTGACACCCATACCATATCTTTTTATATCTACTTACAAATGTTGGCTATTCCTTTTTCCTCCCCATAAAGTATGTTCATTGCATTTAATAGGCGTAGATATTACATTTAGGGTAAATACATGTTGTTTGAGTAATAATTATAGATTATCGTTGGTCATCTCAAGGAGATTGATTTTCTCGCTTGAGCCGGTACGGCGAACGTAAGAAAAGCAATCTAGTTGAGATGACTAATGATAGTCTGTTTATCGCTATTTTACCTAAGAAGACGTTGTTAATTTCATTGACAACGCACGTGCTCCCTTAGTTTCTAGCGACAATTTTTTCATATCACTCGACTCCGCTGAGAAAGGAAATCATCAGTCAGTAAGATTAAAGGAAAATTTCGTAAAAATAGCGATAATATACGATACATTTTGTGTAAGCAGCTAATATATATATATATATATATATATCTATAAATGTCTAAGGATATAACTTAAACACGCTAATTAATACATAAAAAAGTTCTATTAGATTTTAAATAGAAATACGCAATATTTCGCTAAACAAATTAGCTTCATCAGGCGTGTGCATCTCTCAAGGTGAAATCGGATGCATGACAAAAAGATATTTTTGTAGCTTGAACTACACAAAATTTAAGTAAAAGTTTAACATATTTATTGATGTTCTATAAAAAATATATATGTTTGTAGCTACAACTACATAAAGTTGGAGTAAAAGTTTAACATATTTCTTGATGTTCAATAAATTGTATGAATGTCTATTAATTATTTGTATGATTTCAAGATTGTTATTTAGATTTGTTTTTAAATCTTTTTTCGTCTCTCTCATTGAGTCCATCAGGTTCAAGAGTTCGTAACTGGTGCATCCGAAGAGTTGTCACCCAAAACACTGTTCCCGGAGCATCCTGTACAGCCAAGCCATCAGGTTAAAACGGATTTGTTCATCGAAATCAAAATTAAACCACCGTTTGGGACAACTCAGACAGCAACTCAAATCAAGAGGTTATAAGAACAATAATATTTCAGAAGCTTTCTGTAAAGCAAAAGAAAAAGATCGAACAAACCTGCTTGAATATAAAGAGAAGACGGCCCAGACAAATAAAATTCCATTTGTTGTCAGCTTTCATCTTGACCTGACAAATCTTTCATCTATTGTCCACAAACACTTGCGTCTTATTGAAAATTATCTTTCCTTAAAAGAGATTTTTCCATCACCTCCCGTCATGGCGTACCGTAGACCAAAAAAACTCAAAGATATTCTAGTAACATCTAAATTATCTAAACAGGAGATATCGACAATAGATGGTTATAAACCATGCGGAAGGGGCAATTGTAAGTGCTGCAAAGTCGCCAACATCGAAACCCAATTCGTCAGCACAGTCACAAAGAAAAATTACAACATATTTATAACATCAAATTGCAAAACGCAAAATTGCATTTATGTTCTAACGTGTTGAACTTGCAAGTTGCAATATGTTGGTGAAACAGAAACATCATTTAACATCCGACTAAATAACCATCGGTCATTTTATACAAAAGAAAGAAACTGCCCAATCACAAGACATCTTTTAAGAGCAGGGCATGATTTTGAAAACGTCACATTTCAAATCATTGAGAAAAACCAAAATTGGGATACACAAGGAAGACAAAAGAGAGAGGAATTTTGGATGCACCAGTTACGAACTCTTGAACCTGATGGACTCAATGAGAAAGACGAAAAAAGATTTAAAAACAAATCTAAATAACAATCTTGAAATCATACAAATTAATTTATAGAAATTCATACAATTTATTGAACATCAAGAAATATGTTAAACTTTTACTCCAACTTTATGTAATTGTAGCTACAAACATATATATTTTTTATAGAACATCAATAAATATGTTAAACTTTTACTTAAATTTTGTGTAGTTCAAGCTACAAAAATATTTTTTGTCATGCATCCGATTTCACCTTGCGAGATGCACACGCCTGATGAAGCTAATTTGTTTAGCGAAATATTGCGTATTTCTATTTAAAATCTAATAGAACTTTTTTATGTATTAATTAGAGTGTTTAAGTTATATCCTTAGACATTTATATATTTTTTATTCAGTAACTGTATCAGTTTATTTTTACAAACTGATCCACGCCTAAATATATTGAATGTTGATTGTTGCTATTTTTAGACATTATATATATATATATATAAATTATTATTAGGAAATAAATGAAAATAACAAGAATGTAAACAGACAGTGTGTATTGTGTGCATGTGTCAAATATATTTTGTGCTAATTAGAACACGGCTTTGTTTACAAGGCGAAATATGGACGTCATATTAGAATCTTGGTAATTCCACACGATTCAGGCAGTCCTCATAGCTCTCTATGTAGTGCAAATTCAGACAAACTATAACTCTTTGAATATTGTGTTGCGATATTATTTTCATTTTCTACCTGTTCTTTCAAAATACTCGAAGTTACTGTTAATAATCATTATAAGAAAAGCATATGACACATACCGGCGTACACTGCCCAATGTTTATAATATATTCGATCGAACTCTATCAAATCTCCTACTGTCAAAGTGTCCAACAACGACTGATTATGATCCGTCACAGTTTTTTCATCCATTACCTATAGGCAGTGTATACAAGAATTACCATGCTTTCACTTCTATTTCTACATTGATGCATTTATCAAACTGGTACGAAAAAAATATAAATCGTATGCTAATAATTTCATAAATATAGAGAAATGCATATGATTTGACTGGAATCGAATCGCAATTATTGATATACGGTGTTCTCTTATCTTGAAATATTTGATGCTTTATTTGTTGTGGTGTTTTTATTGTTAGTTATTCAAAACTACTAGTATTGTTCAGTTTGAATAACTTGAATTTAATCAGATATGCGTTGTCATAATATCAGCATAAGAACACACTGTAAAATTCATTTACAATTAGATAAACTCAATGGATCGGTACGAAAAACATTAAACAAAAACAAAAAACAAAAACAAGACAAAAACAAAACAAAAGTAACCCCCAAAAATAACAAAGAATATAAACTGCAGCTGTTTTCATTCATATAAATCCGTGGCTTTCAATTATTTGGCTTTGGGCGTTCCTGATTGAGTTTAAACCAGAGAACGCCTCGGACGCATGATTTGTATAAAGTGCTGTTTTCATTTTTCAAAAAATTAGTACACAGAAAATAGATGTGTTAGAGATCCGAAACGTTTTTACAGTTCATACCTGTCTAGATGCTAATCAAAGATGAAAATTTTTAAACAGGAATAACAGTTTACATGTATAGATATTGTCTCAGGATCTGAAAAGTAATAATAGTGTAAGAATCATAACTACAAGGGTGCTGGTCACTTATACGAAGTCATTCAATTATCAGACTTTCCTGAGAAAAGTGTGACTGAAATAGTTATTAGAGGAACGGAAGAACGAAGAAAATAACGAATAGACGAATAAAAAGAGAATGTGAATAAGATAAAACACCCTTTTATAGAGCCCAAACTGAAAAAAAAAATATCGATATTTGAACAGATCAAATACAAACACAAATATTGCAATTACCTTAATCTTTTCTTCTTTCTAAACGAAAATGAAAGTAGAATAGTTAAAATTTCCAAAGTTGATAACCGTTTTTTTAAAAGATTTGATCGCAGTTTATAATCCCTTATCAAAGTAGTAATAATACAAGGTTATACATGTTGTACTGCACATAATCTGACATCAAAACGTTCAAATATCTCTTTGATTTTTGTCACGGGATAACAATTTCTTTTTATCCTTTACTGTGCTCATTAAGCATCGTGTAACAACATTTTAACAATCGATACATTGTTTCACATTTATTTCAAATCTCTAGTTAAGCATGTTAAATATCAATAATCTTAGATCGTCAACACATTTTTCAAATGAAAACACACATATATACCTTAATTTAATGACAGCAGCATACGTGGACGTTGGAACCTTATTTTGTGGTTGGCATATAATATAGAAAGCTATTTTACAGACGTTATGTTGATCTCTTTAATTTGCTGTCTTATAGTAATTTATTCCGTCTGTTTGTACTCTTATACTAAATGCAACCTAAGTTGCTATTTCAAAGGTTAATAATACTATTACATGCAATAATTTTCACATGTCTTTAAATCAACTGTTGGTAAATAAATATGTAGATTAGTTTGTTAAGGCAAGTTTAATTTCGAAGTTATACATGCTATAATCAATTTATGATATCGTACATGTTATGAGAAGTCAGCAAACAGCTTTGGTATTTTTTCTAACTTTCTTGTTTGTACTGTTTTCACATTTTCTTTTGATAAAAACTTTAACTGTTATATTAGATCGTGTTTACATTAATTTTTCTGCGTTTGATAATTTGAAAAAAAACTTGAAAAAAAGGAAATAACAAATTCAAAAGAGTACTTATACCATGTTCATGACACTTAAAATGAAGAAAAGAAAAACTTTTTTATAATTTCATATCTCTTAAATATGTTTATTTTCAGATATTTTGATATCTTGAGACGCAAACACAATGAAATAGATAAATTTATCAAATTTGAAATAAATTATGTATGTTTATAGGTCAAATATGTTCATAGGTCAGTTGTCATATGAATTTAATGTTGTTATCCTACAGAAAAAATATAATAGATATACATGTAAGAAAAGGGGCGAAAGATACCAGAGGGATATTCAAACTAATCAATTCAAACTAAAATACTGACAACGACATGGCTAAAAAGGGAAAAGGCAAACATACAAACAATAGTACACAAGACACAGCATAAAAAAACTAAAGAATAAGCAACAGGTTCCCCACCAAAATTGGGGGTGATCTCAGGTGCTCTAAAAGGTTAAGCAGATCCTACTCCACATCACATGTGCCACCCGTCGTGTTTCTCATGTTGGTATTAACCCGGTTAAATTTCTAATTTGATAGGTCACATTCGTGAAAAGGAGACCGGATTGTAGTTACGACATTAGGTACATATCTTCTATCATCTGTGAAGCGGAATTTCCATAACGGTTATACATGTAAGTAGAATAATCGAATAATATGTCCGGATAATTATGTATCTATCTTTGGTTGTCATTCTTTTGGTTTGCTACACAAGAATTATTATACATACAAGGATGTCTATGTAATTGTGCTCTGTTTTGCTAAGACTTTAGTTTTCAATGATGCGTTTTGTAAATTTTTGTTTGTCTTTGGTAATTTTTTTCTTTTATTTTGTCAACAACATGAACAACTAATAAATTAAGATATCCATACGGTAACTTCCTCATTGTCTTTGCAGACTATAAACTTAAACCATAAGTTTTGGAAACAGGGGAATACAAATATAAATCCAGGAAAAATGTTTATAAAACAACACGCAAAGACTTATACAACAAGTAAACTTTTCAAGCTTAATCTGTTGAATGAATCAATATGAATACGAAAGTATCTTTTATTCTAAGGTAAAATATATTATGATTTGTATTTTCCACATATTTTCGTTGTTGCGTAAATGAGACATTAGTTAATATTCAGCAATCACCTATGCCATAATATCCAAGTGAATAATTATCATGACATGTTAACTAGTAGTTGGTATATCAACATAACATCTTCAACATATATGACCGAACGTACTTTATCTCAGCTGTTAAACGGTATCGGTAAATTGCAATCTGATTGTTCTACAATAAGCAGTCTTATGATGTCCTAGTATTATTATTCTATATGGTCAGATTCATTGGTCTTTTCAATTGTTTGATTAGAGCGTCAATGTTGCGTCTTTTGAAGACAAAACGCGCGTATACTGTACATCATTAAAAAACTGCTACTGTATCTTGGTGATCTATTGTAATTTAAAGTCGAACATTTCTAAACGGTCACATTGTTTCAGCGGTCACCTGCATCTAGGTGCAATACCACCTAATCAAAGTATATCATATCCGGTTGCATACGAAAAAGGGTCGAAAAAATATTCCCTTGAATTTGACAGTTGAAGGAAATAAATCCTACATTTCACTGCAGTAAAACATTTCTGGGTCATAAACGTGCGTGCTTCAAATCACGATTATTTTTTTTTTTTTTTTTTTGTGTTTCTGTAGAACATTTTGGAAACTTGAGGTTACATGGTTACTAAAGCTTGTACACAGATATAAAAAAGGTGAAAATTTGATTGGTTGACTTCCAGTGATGGTTATTTTCTTATATGCAATGAAATGTTATGTGAAATATTGTATATAGTACTGGACAAGATAAAACTTTACTCATGCAAAGTTTTTCTTTATTTGAAACAAAGATAAATTCTGCTCAATTTTTTTGAAAAATGCAAATTTAACAAAGATTAATTGAAGAAATGGTGGTATTACAAAAAATTTTTACTCGTTTCATCGGTCAGATGTCTAACCCGCTCCGCCACCACATAGTTTTTGCTCAAAATCATCATTTCATCATTTAACAACGGCCATTTTAATGTTTATAACTACAAAAAAAAATTAGAAATAAACTCATCATAGATACCAGTATTGAAATTTCATATTTGCGTCAGACGCGCGTTTCGTCTACAAAAGACTCATCAGTGACGTTCGAATAAAATTTTTTTAAAAAGGCCAAATAAAGTACGAAGTTGAAGAGCATTGACTAATTTCTCCATGAATGGTAAAATATTTCGAATTTTCCTTAAATTATTACAACGGAAACCGCCATTTTTTTTCACTCCTCGCAAATACGATAACTCAACCGATTGAAAACGGACCACTGACGATTACGGATTTGGAATGTTTTGGAACCTGGTTTTAAAGGTCACATCTCTTGAGCGGTCACTTGTGATACTTCACTAGAGTCATGAAATATTCTTTAATTTTGTTTTATTTTTGATTTTGTTATGGTAAGTTTGGCTGACAATCTATGTTTCATATCGGTATTCTTAGTGTTCAATTTTAGATGTAAAGCCAAAATAATTTAGTATACCATATTTATCGAGACTCGTACTCAGTCCAGTAATTCGATTTTCAGATTTCATTGATTTTCCTGTTATATTTCACTGTTTTTTGTTTCCCTTGAGAAATATTTTTATTGGCATGCAATGTGATATCATATTCGGAGCGTAACTTGCAAAATGAAAATGGATCCCAGAGTTTTATTTTACCATTAAACAAATAGGGTTATCAATTGTGAATAAGATATATCAACTTAAGATATGTATTTTCAATTAAAAAGAATAAACTGACACCAAGATAGTTGATCATTGAATTGTCAGTATAAATAACTCTTTTTGATATCAAGCGATATCCAATTATCACGCGTGATGAAACCTATCAATACATTTGAGTATACTTCACATTAACATTTTATGTCTGTTTTGGTTGCAAGCCAAATATTGTCAATAAAATGGAACTATTACATGTATTAACAACAGTTGCACATCTACATGCAGGAGATTTAGCTAGCTAAAAACCATGTTTAAAGTTCAAAGTTGGATATGGCTATTATTATTGATCCATTTTGTTCATATAGCTCTTCAACTGTTTCATGTCTTATATTTCTGAGGCTCATAAATATTCAACTTTGGGCGTTCCTGATGAAGGTGAATCATAAAAAAGAACTTTACGGGCACGATCCTTATGAAGTGTTGTTTTAATTTTCAAAGACTCGGTACACAGGAAATAGATAAATAAGAGATTCAAAAAGTGTTCAAACTAACTATTTACAAAACTTTGAATTGTTCAAATTTATAAGGATATCTTACCCAGTTATTCATACCCTAAGCTGTATCTGGCAATTGAAATTTCTTCTTGAAAAAACTCGAGCGTCAATGATGAGTCTTTTGTAGACGAAATGTACGTCTAGAATCTGGCGTACTAAATTATGATAAAATAGAAAATAGAATATTTGATGAGCTTTTGTCACAACTGTCAGACTTTTGAACAAATATGAAAATTGTGCAGTTGTTTAGTACAAAAAATAAGTGTGACGAACGTTTCATTTCATCCAAAGTATTTAGAAACTCAAAATATCGGTAACAAGAAGAACAAAAGAACCAATGGACAGATAAACAAAGAAGGTGAATGCAATATAGCACCCGACCTTAGATTATGGGTAAAAAAAAACCAAAAAGATACTTAAAAAATAAAATAAGACACAAATATAGCAAATTACCTCAGTCTTTTCTTCTTTCTTTACGAAAGTGAAAGCAGAAAAGTTAAAATTTCCGTATTTGATAACGTCTTTTTTCTTTATAGATTCTCTTATTGATCCCAATGTTTATAAGAACCTACATTTATGATTAAAACGTTCAAAATCCATTTAAATTTTGATGTCCGGAAACAATAATGAAATTTATCCTAAATTGTGTTTATTTAACCTTGTTTAAAATGTTTAACAAATTTAAAAAAAAAAGAATTTTCACATTTATTTTAAAACTAATAAAAGAAGCACATCAACACATTTTCATAATGACAACACACGTTGGTATATTCTAATGACATCAATGCGCTTGCTCCTTATTTTGCAGTTTGCATTTATCTAATAGACAATATTTTTGTCACAACTGTCTAGCTGCTGATCAAATATGAAAGTTCATAAATTTTTTTGAAATATCAGTGTGACGATCTTTTCTTTTTCAAATGTCAATAACAAGGTAAGAATAACTAAACGTGTACATGCACGATGTGCATGACAACAGAAATGAATCATCCGTCATCTGATTTTTATATTTCTTAAAATAGATGTTTATTTTAAGATATTTTGAAACCTTGATTTACAAAATCCCCAAGGAAAATAGATAACGTTGGCAAATTTATTATTCATGAGACAAATATCAAATAATGTTGAAAGGTTAATAAGATATAAAAGTTAACGTTGTAAAAGAAGAGAAAACATGCAGTCGATACCCATAAAGAAATAAGAAGATGTGGTATGAGTTCCAATGAGACAACTCTCCATCAAAGTCACATGTACAGAAAACATTATGGGTTATGGGAAATAATCAATTGATATGTTTGTAGAATTATGAATACTCCTTATACTTTTTCTTTTTTATTCTTTCACTTCTATATGATTTTTAAACATACAATGGTGTATATGTCTTCAACATGTGACAAACAAAGTTTCTGGTAGAACTTCGTTCTGCTCAATCTTTAGTTTTTGATAATGTGTTTTAAAAATTATTATTTGTCTTTTGGTCATTTTCCTTTTTAGTGATGGCGTTGTCAGTTGTTTATAAAGAAACACCAAAAAGACGTATACGATAACTAAACATACCAAGGTGAATCTGTTTCTAATATTAAACCAAGTACTTTATATACAAACGTGACATATATTTGAACTTGTATGTTCCACATATATTTGCGTTTGCAGAGAAAATTAAGGTAAATTAAGAAAAAGTGAAGACCATAAAAACTGACAAAAATGAAACGTTATCAACCAACGGAATTTGTGAAAAAAAGGTTTTTCTGACTTGATTTATCGTTTGAGAAAACCACAACCGACTTTAACTTATGTGACCGAACCTACTTTGACTCAGCAGGTATCAAAATATAATCTTGATAGTTTGTATCCTGAAATGTAAGCTAAAGTCTCAGTTCTTCATGTTTCAAAGTACACATATAACATAGCCATTGTTTACATCTTACAATGATCAATGAACGACGGTTGCCAATCATTTATATGGAACTTTATTTGAAGTCTGGAGCACCTGAGCTCATCCAATGTTTTGATTTTGTCAGAAACCTGCACCCGTTGTTGTATAATATTGGTGATCCTTGATTGAATTACATATTAGACATCACATATTTATTTTTTAAGAAGAAAATTCTAATTTTAAGTAACTATTTGCAAGTGTCTTTGAAATCAATGTTAAAAAACTTACAATAATATATTTGTCAACAAAAGAAACGATAGAAGACAATGAATTTTCCATATATAACGAAATTGGATACACTGTAACAAGATAAATAATTGCCCAATTGGTCTTATATTTACAAAGTTTTATTTTCTTATCAAAACCATTAATTTAAGGTAAATATGCGATTTTTGATATTAAAAAAGAATATCGTGTTTTCGCCAAAAAAAAGAAAAAATCGATATTTGAACTGAGACCTTTAAACTTAAACATGGTTTGCTAAAAATTTTGAATGCCTTTGCAGATATTCGAATACCCAATTCCGATCTTCGAAATTAAGTGCCGACTTTTGTCATCATTTTCCGCAAAATAAATTTGACCCCTATGTTCAATAACACGGTATTTTTTCAACATCCATTTTGGTCAGATTCTTTAAAAGAGGGGCGAAAGATACTAGAGAGACATTCAAACTCATAGATCGAAAATAGACTGACAACGTCATGGCTAAAAAATGGAAAGACAGATATACAGTCCGTATGCAGGCGCTGCTGGAATGTTGCTACATAAAAATAGAAAGTTCACAATTGGGAAGCTAAAATCATCTCTTTTGTCGTAAAGTTTTGTTTTCAACCGACCCTCATTGTCAATTTATAGATGTATGTCAAGATATGAAGCAGACTTAACTGTTTCTGTTGTATCCTTTATCTCTAGTTCGATGGGATAGATGCGTTCAACATAGTCACCAAATTTTGAATTATTTAGTGGGAGAACATCATCTATATAGCGGAAAGTAAAGTTAAAGGATATTGCTAACTTCTTTTTCTTTTCTACCTAAGAAATTCAGGTATGAAGTCAACCTCATAAAAATAAAGGAACAAGTTGGCAACAAGAGGGGTACAATTGGTTCCCATGGGAAAGCCGATAGTTTGTTGAAAAAAACGTCCTCCAAACATAAAAATATGTTGTCAATCAAGAAATCAAGCATCTTGATAATGTCAGTTTCAGAAAATTTTTTGTTTGAATCAGAGTGATTTTTTAAAATGTAGGATTTATCCCTCCCTAAGACAAGATACTTGTATCTACGTTGGCCATTCTTAATGAAACAAGGCAGTACCAACTCTTTCAATTTGTCTTTAAGTTTGAAATGGGGAACACTTGTGTAAAGTGTAGAAAAGTCAAATGTTTTAATACTATTGCAAGATGAAAGTGTCTTAGATTGTATGTACTCTAAAAGATCTTTTGAATTTTTTAGTATCCACATCTGATTCACGCCACCTCTAGAATAGGCAGTTTCACAATAACTTTGAAGCCTGGCTTTGATTGCTGATAAAATTGATGTTAATAATTTAGAAAGAGGTTTCGTGGAGCACTTGGAAGACCCAGCAATATACCGTTGTTTGTAAGGACACTTATGTAGTTTAGGTATCCAATACAGTGATGGAAGATTAGTTTGGTATAGGTATAGGTACAGACTGATCTTTAAAATAGGAAGGTATTTTCGATTGAACTAATTTATGATGAAGGATATTGCCCACGTTGACGCCATCGAGACCTTTGTTGGCAAATGAAAGTTTAAAAAAAGATCTGTTATCTTTTTCATCTTTTCCAATGCAAACTTGTTTGAAAAGTCTGTGACTTGCAATATCCGAAATGATAGCTATAAGTTTGTATTGGTTTGAATGAGGGTTTGTAACAGTGGTTTCCAAACATAAATTGAACAGAGAATGAAGTTTTTAAAGGGTTAATGAATAAATTTTAGTGCGAATGTGATGGATACCTAACGGATTTTGTATAAGTGGCAGCAAGTCATTAATAGAGACATCATGAAGAGTTGGTGATGTATAATGACGATGACCATGACTGCGTCTACGTCGAGGAGTAGAATTGAAAACATTCATCACATTCACCGAGCTGCAGGAAGGACTAGATAGAATACCTATACCATCAATTTAGTCATTGCAACCATATGGTGTCGCAGTTCCAAATTGTCGAATCCAGTAGTCCTCTTTTTGTCTACGTAGAGGCGTTGCAAGAGGAGGATTGTTAGTCCTGTGGTATATTTTTCGATAATGCGAACTTTTATAGAAACGATGGAATGCTCAGGCTGATTAAAATGCTGGTAAAGAATGTCGCTTGCATTGTGGTTGATGTCTAGTCTATGGCCGATAAATCATATGCATTCGGTATTATATTTATGATAAATTGGAGTTCAAACTCGGGTATCGTTAATTTTGTTGACTAGTATATAACAAATATAGTTCATTGTTTTAATAACTTGTTGAAAAATAATAGAATGATGGTCATTTTTGTGAGTTGCTATTTTATTGAAGTTTTCCTTTTTCCTTTCAATTTTGCACATGTATGTTCATCTATTATAGGTATCTTTGACTTTGAAAGTTGTCATTTTTTGGGAGGTTGTGTTAAAGGTTTTTTTTTTTCAATTTAAGCTACATATTGTAAATTATTTTATACGTAAGAAATTTACTGTCAAGAAAAAATAAAACTTTATTTTACAGCATGTTAAAAATGAACATTCAATAACAGATGTCCCGATTACGTTACGTGACTTTACAACGACATTTTCTCATTATGACTTTTACCGCCATAAACCTGAAAAGTTATGGCGAGTCACATATTTGATTGTCAGGTGACTCGTAAATCCGGATTACACAATGAACGACAGAAAAATAACTTCTAATCAATTGAAGATTTAGGAACATCTATCAATATTATTCCAAATGATATAGAGTCACAACTGCTATTAAGGTGCCGTTTGAAAGGCAAATCCTGATTTTTCAGGTGATACTCGTCTTATTCAGCTGCAAGTTATAACACCTTTTCAGGTTTTACCTCAATTTAAAGTCATCTTTCTTATCAATTAAATTTTTCTCTGGCCCTGAGACTAACTTTTATATACAGGTTTGACTGGATAGAAGCTACCGAACAGAACATTACGAAACGAATTATATTGTGTTAACTTAGTGCATTGTAAGGGAAAGTTGTTCATCAATATCAAACATTCACTAAACAAGTGTATTCAAACCACATGTTTCAGATGACACATTTAGGAACTATAAAAAACTGTCATGCAAGTGAGAGGTTAAACTAGCTATAGAACCAGGTCTCACCCATCATTGTCTTCGGAATTATGATGGTTGTTTCGCTTGTTCCGTTGATTGATAGCGTCCGATATTGTCAGGTTTATGAACTCCCCATTTTTGAATTTGCCTCGGAGCTCGGTATTTTTGTTATGCTTTTTTATCCATTTTCTCTCGAGTTGATTTTTAAGCTTCCTAATATAAATTTCAAAATAATGTCATTGACTTAAAGAAGTTTCCAATAAGGTCAAGTAGTCCCATAACACCAGCATTGTGTTGTGCTAGTGGTCAGTCAACGCCTGTTGAGTCTAATTTCAGAATGAGAATCAAACATATACAATGTTTGTTTGTCACATGTAAATGTGTTAAACTAATAAGGAAAAAAAAAAGATAATGAACAGTTTTTTAAGCTATTAAAGATATTTAACAGATTGCTCTTTGCTGTAAGTGACATAACAACACTATCGGTTTTTAGATATTTCAGAAGGTGTTCATAACAAAATTCAGAAAAGATAGGATCGCAAAAAAGATACTAAAGATACCAAGGTGCAATCAAAGATATCAATATGAGTTCAGGTCAAAATAGTTCTTTAAATCAAATGTATACTGACCTGTTTCGGATATAGAGAACCGAATAATTATTATATCTAATTTAATACATCAAATCACTTGTATAAGAATGCAATGGCTGGATTTCTATATTTCATTAAAATCAGCTGTTAGTTTTCGCAACGTTACTATCCGCAATCACAACATCGAATGTTGTGCAAATTATTGACTATTTTTTAAAATGATATTTTACAAGAACTAGATTGTGTGTTCCTTCTCATCTCTTACAAACGGTCGATTGACTAATTTTTGTGCAGCTTATATTTCACTAAATTTTATGTGAAAAAAATCAAAATTTTTAATCACTTTAATAAAGAAGTTTAACTGTATCGTCTAGGCTAATCTGATAAGAATAATTCAACATTACAGAACTTGGAAAATGAGCGGCATTTTAACATTGTGTTTAAGCTTGTATTCTCTTTTAGTTACTGAATGTTTAGTAAATAAACTGATCATATACACCAGGTTTAAAACTCTGTACGACAGACAAGTGACGCTCGAATAAAAATTATAAAGAGCCAAATATAGTACGAAGTTGAAGAGCATTTAGAACCCAAAATACCAAACGGTTTCGACAAATACAGCTAAGATTTTCTACAGTGTTCTATTTTGAAGTTGAAAATCTCTCCTTTTTGGATGTGTTATAGTTAATTTATAATCGTGATCATATAAATGATAATCCATGATAACACAGAAGGAAGTGAGAACTGGTGAAACAATAAAAACCTCCACCATCAGTGATTATGTACATAAGAATTGACAAGTTTTTTTTCGATTATAATATGACATCATTAATTACTTGAAAATACTACCATTTAATATTTCCTGCGGGTCTGGGTTCTGATTGAATATTTATTTTCCTATTTTACTAGTTGTTGGCCTATTAATTTCGCTTATTCAAATTCTTGTGCATAACATAATCAATTCCATCATTTTTCCCCTATTTTATTAGACAGAATACTCATTTTACTGATTATCTTGGTCAAAATGTTGTGATTTCAGTTATTTCCATGCAAACATATTCATTTTGGAAATCACCCCTTACTCCCGTCAAGAATATCAAATGGGCATCCCCTAAGTACGATTCCTGAATATAATGATCATCCCACAAGTATACTTAAAGATAAGCATTACTGACGAATAAGATATATCTATAAAATATGTATTACGTAAGTTCATAACTAGTGAACAACTTTTCAACAAGTCAGTACGCAATTATTTCAATCTCCTAATTGAATGTTTTATATATGATATGTTAAACAGTTGTAAATGTGTTATAAATGGGAGTTACTTCTTCAGAGTAAAAATGTCACCTAATGGTTTCGTATATTTAGAACAATGTTAAATATATTAATATTACAAAGAGGAACAAAAAATTTTAAACGATAGTTTAGAATAAAAAAGTTTTCAAATTGTTTTAACTGTATGGCATTATTCCATTTTTACACCGTTACAGTTCATTGTTTATCTTTAAACAAAAAAATTCAACTTGTATACACGGAAAAGCTTCGTTTAGACAGATGTATGCACTCCTGAAAAAACCCCAAACACATATAAAAAATATGTTTATAAAATGGACTTCAAATTCAGCAAGGTAAAATTGAGTCTACATGTATGTAAATAAACTCATGTTAAACAAAGCCCTGGGTAATCGCACAAACAGAATTTCATAACTGTCACCCAAATTGTGATGGCGTCCTTACAATAACGACGTGACAACTTCAACTTTACCATTTTTTAACACTTGGTCTAATACCTCCTCCTCTATCAAGGAAATCATGGTAGGAAATGCAAGCTTAGTGATATCTAATGAATTGGGAGATATACACTTCATATGACGTTGCTAGAATTTTATTACATAGAAATGGAAATTTTCAAATCGGTTAGCTGAAATCATATCTTTTGTCTTTTCGTACAGTATTTATTTTTCTCAACCGACCTTCATTGTCAATTTCTAGATGTAGGTCAAGATAAAAACTGTCTGAAATGTATCTGTTGCATCCTTTATCTAAAGTATATTGGGGTAGATGCGCTTAACATAGTCCCCAGATTTTGCGTTATACTGCTGGAGGACATCATCTATATAGCGGAACAGGAAGTTAAAGGATAATCCCAGCTTTTTCAATGCTTCATTACAAGCCACTATATGAAGTAGGTCATATGAATGATGAAACAAGTCGTGAGAGAGATGAACACAGTCAGTTCAAATAGAAATGCCGATTATTGTTGGAAAAACACTTATATCTAACAAATATGTTGTCAAAAAAGAAATCAAGCATCTTGATAACGCCAGTTTCAGATATGTGTTTTTTTCTTTGAATCAGAATGGTACTTTGAAAAGAACGATTTCTTTTTCATTAAAACAAGATATTTGTATCAATATTGGTCATTCTTTTTTATGAAACAAAGCAGGACCAATTGTATCAACTGTCTTTATCCTGAAATGGGAAACACATGAATATGGTAGAAAAGTCAAATGTTTTAATACTATGAAAAGAGGAAAGACACTTAGACTTAGATTGTGTGCTGTCCATCATATAATTTAAAAGTGTTAGGCATCCACATCGCATTCACACCATTTTAGAGTGTGTACATTGTTATTCAAAATGCCTCTGATACCTTGCTTTGGTTGCTGAAAACATTGCATTTTATAATTCAGAAGATGTTTCGGGGACCACTTAGAAGACTCAGCAATATAACGTTGTTTGTTATAACATTTATTAATCAGATATTCAATATAATGAACGGAGAATCAACGCTCAATCTTCTGCTGGAATTCAAAAGAAGCTAGAACAAATAGTTCTATTTAGCAGTTGTCCTAGGGGTATGTGTTGAGTTTTCATTGTTGAAGGCCGTACGATTGCCTATAATTGCTAACATCCACTTCATTTGATTTCTGGTGGATAGTCGTCTCATACCACATCATAAGAAAATATATACCCATGGCAAATGTTTTACAGTCTGAAATACAAGAAAGGAATATAAAAACATGTATGAAATATTTTCGTTTCAAAACATCTAAAACAAATTATTATGGAGTTGATATCACACCTGGATATTGGAAGTGTTGCATAGTCATCTTTTAATGTGTTATGTTTTGCATGGTGTTGTTTTTCGTACGGTCGTTTTTCATTTCTGCCATGACATTGTCAGTTCGTTGTCGAGTGAGATAAAATATCCCTTTGTAATCCTTTACCATGTTTCAAAAACTTAATCCAATAAATCGTCAAACGAATGTTGCATGTTAAGTTATTTTAAAAGAAGTATTTTTAAAACAAAAATGACACTTATAATAAGTTATTATTCCCTAGGGTAAAGTTGATTTTATAAGTTAAAATCCAATTTGTAGGTAAAAAACACACAAAATTATTCCTTTATTCCGGCCTGTCACTTCCGAGAATGATGCATATGGAAGTATGTTTGCATACATTTAAGTTGCAATTTAAAACACCAGTGTAACATTTTATAGCACAGTTATTGTGGTTTTTGTTGATCGTAGATTGAAATATCTATCAGAAAATAATTGTTACAGTAAGAAACATCAAGCAAATAGTACTCAAATGTTTTGAATTGATTTTTTTTTCAATTTTATTTTGAAAAACATGCATTTATTGACCAGATAAGTGCAAATAAAAAATAACCTTGACACATTTCGATGGGAAAAAACCTTTCTTGCCATTTATCTCTCCGATAAGCC